CCTCAGGCTGGAAGAGCTTTCCTGCAGGGTGCTTATCACTGCATAAAGCATCTGCAACCCATGGAAACGAAAAACTGCTACAGATAAACAAAACTGCTAAAGCATGACCCGAGGATTACTTCATTTCCTATTAAGCTAAAAGTGGAACACATCCCATCCGGACCTTCTCTTCTGAGGATAGAACAATCAGGACTTTGTTTTATCAGCTATCCAAAAAGGAACCCCAACAGAGCTTGCTGGATCAGCCACACCCAGTCCCTCACAGATGTCAATCTCTGAAAGAAAGGGGGCCTCAGTGATGGAAAATACAGTAAGAATGCTCTCACTTCTCTGTTTGGCATCGATGTATTTCAGAATCTGGTGTCCTTTTCCTCTTTTTGAATGGATATAAAGTTAAGGGAAAATTTTGTCTGCAGATACTATGATAGGAGCGAGGACTAGTAGAAAAGTATGCAACCACTGCTTGATTGTGGTGGTCTGATGCTAGATAGTACATTTGAGGAAATGCCTCTATATGTATAGGAGTATAAAAGGGGCTAATTAATGCTAAAAAAAAAAATGTGATTTCCTGTATTCTAGAATATACCTCTAAAGCCTCTACTTCTAAAGCCTCTACCTCTAGCTAGGCTGCTAACTAACAACCTTTTCCCCCCACACACACTATCATATCCCTTTGTTCTACCCAGATGGAAATCTTGCATAGGCAAGGAGAAACGAGCTCAGTTCAGTCCAGGTCCTTTTGAGTACTGCAGCAGCAGGGTGGAGAACATGGGCAGCAGTGGCACTGGGCCCCTGGCCTCTGACAGGCAAGATAACATCACAGGATTTGGGTCCCTAACAGCTAAGGTTTTGGTGTGAGATTCAGGCCTCAGGCTCCAGCCCCAAGGCTGGACACCTGGGACTCAGTGCAGATGTGGGCAGCAGCACAAGGTCCTGGCTCTAAGTACTGTCAGTCTTACTTTCTCCCTGGCCCACCACTTGTTCTCTGCTGCTAACTACTGCCTATTCTACCCAGGCTGCTCAGCTTGCCAACCTTCCTAATGTGTCCTGATGTCAGGGGCATTATCTCCCTACCTCTCTGTTGCAGTTTAACAGAGAATCTTTATTGGAACCTGATGTTATCACATCAGAGGGGTAGTAAGTAAGAAGGGCTTACCTCCCCCCCCCCTGCTCAAAAAGTGAACTGAGCAGACAGGAATAGGAAGGGTAAGCACACCTGCACAGAACACAGTAATCCCCTTAGGTTGACAAGGGTCATGGTGCAAGACCCACATTTCACAGCAAATTATACTCTTGTGCCCGGTATCTCATAGATAGCCTGAATGTAGTATTTACTGTAAAACTTGATCTGTTTTTATCCTATTTAGTGCAAAAATGGGTTTAGTTTCAAGAGAACATGTTTTTCCATCATCAAAATTTTTGTATTAAATATTACTGTACATTATATAAAAAAACATTCAAACAACTCAGACAAAGTAGGAGGTCAAAATCACTACCAACATGTCACCCAAGGGTACATAATTTTACTTAATAAAAGGGAGAATTAGACCAGTTCTGGTGGTTCATGCCTGTAATCCTAACTATTCAGGAGGCTGGGATCTGAGGATTATAGTTCAAAGCCAACCCAGAAAGTCCCTGAGACTTTTATCTGTAATTAACCATCAGAAAACCAGAGGTGGCACTGTGGCTCAAAGTGGTAAAGTACCAGCCTTGACCAGAAAAGCTCAGGGACAGTGCCTTGGCCATGAATTTAAGCCCCATGGCTGACCAAAATCTTTTTTTAAAAGGAGAATTATAACCGATCTTTTGCTTCTAAAGGAAGATACTATAAGGCAAGAAAATATACTGTAAATCACCTCGAAAGATTATAATCTCTCTAGGTTCTTGCTAGAAAGCATTCAAACATGGGGGGGGGGGACTGGGGGGAGGGAGAAAATGGGACGCAAGTATAATTTCAGTGTTTGAAGTGAAAGGTTTGTTTTAGAAGGCCATTTACAAATGTCTCCTTTCCCAACTATCTGTAGGAACTATTATAAGATAAAAGGTTACAGACCAACACCAAGAAGTAGCTGCCTTCTGAAGGTCAATCAATCATCTAGTTTTAGTAAGGACTAAAATGTTACAAAATAGTGACAGTGAAATATACAGAGAACTCATAATAAGTCAGAACCAGCAATCTGGATAAAGCATGACCTTAAAAGCAAGAACAAGGCACAAAGCTCTTTTTCTTCTCATAGTCAGCCCAAATGACTAGGAATTACAGAGCTAGTCCACACGTAAGCAGAAAGGGTGCACAGACGTGGCTATCAGAAGCAGCTGCTGCAAAAAGCCAGCTCACAATTAGCTAGTAACTGGGATGCACAAAGCATTGTACAGACTTTCCATCAAAAGAAATCTTGATTAATCCAAACTGCCCTCAGCAGACAGGAAATCTGAGGCTATCATTACTACTAACTGACGCACAGAAATCATCAAAGGTAGTTCTGGAAGGAGACACAGACTCCTGCTCCAGGCTATGAATTCAATTCAAGAAGCCAGAGACTCCTTTTGCATTTATTTAATCAAAGAAAATAAGGGGGGAGGAGATGGATGTACCTTTCTACAAGACTGGCTTCTGAAAACCAGGATGAATTTCAACTCACCAGAAGTGCTGATAGGGTGTTTTCTTTGAATACACCAATGAACAAAACAAATAAAACCCTTGTCTCTTCCATATTCAACACTTTAGGTAAGTACAGGACAAAAAATAACATATATAAACAAAATATATAAGGTGTAAAAACTGAGAAGTACAGCCAGGTGCCAGTGGCTCACACCTATAATCCTAGCTACACAGGAGAATGGCATCTGGAGGACTGAGGTTTGAAGCCAACCTGGGCAGAAAAGTCTGCAAGACTCCCTCTCACCCAAATCACTAGAAAAATGCTGGGATGGAGGTGTGGCTCAAGTGGTAAAGACAGCAGCCAAACAAGCATGAGGCCCTGAGTTCAAACCCAGGTATTAGAGGAAAATAATTGAGAAGGGCAATGGAGAAAAATAAGCAAAGAGAAGAGATGGAATGCTGAAAGGAGGCAGTAAAGTAAGGACCTGTAGAAGGGGGAAAAGGTTGAATTCAAGAAGTTTACAACATCTAGAAGACAATTTAAGCTTTTTTTTGTTTAAGGATTTTTTTAAAAAGAAATTCAACATTAACTTTACCCCCTATATATCTTCACTTCTAGTCTTCCGCTAATCCAAAGGGCAGTGGCTGGAAAGACATACAAACAAACCAAAATCCTGTAATGATGTCAACAGGAGGCTCCAGGCGGGAATCTTCTCTGCTGATCATCTGAACACCCACCATATCAGACCCAACATGCTAAGTGAGGCGCTGCCTCATCAGCACTGGGGAGCCTCTGCTGTGGTCAGCACCTCCTATAGGCAGCCTGACCCATCAGGCCAACTGGGAGAGGGAGAAAGTAATGAGCCCATGGCACTACAGACAGGATGAGAAATGGCTAAGGGAAAAGGTGTGTGGATAGCAGAAACCGAAGACGTTAGGAAGAGGATTCCTGATCCACGAGAATGGGTCTGGAATGATTTCTGGGGATTCAGCCAAAAATAGAGAAGAGTGGCAGAGTCCACTGCCCATTCCAGTTGGCTTGGTTGCTAGGGCAACAATACTCAGAGTCAGTAAATACAAATGGACACCCATGGAGGGGTGTGGCTGCAAAGGGTGTGTACAAAGAAAACATCGGTGTCCTGGGTCCAAAGCCAAGGAAAGAAGTGGGTCCTGGTTAGGGATGGTGGGCTGGAAAAAAGGTGCAAGGAGCTACTTGTAAAGCTAAGAGCACTAGCCTGCAAGTATAATCCGTAAGTAAGGCAGACAATGACTTCAAAGAAAATAAATGCTTGCCACCTTTCCTAATTTAGGGCGCTGGCTAATGGAAGTGTAAGCGTTTACAGGAACCTGTCTCTCCAAGAGAGGAAACCTGGGAGATTTGGGGCCAAGTATCACAGCCAGGACCAGAGCTACATCCTCATCAGATCTGTAATTTCTCCTTTATCTCCTTACATTCTCTTAGTACCTAACCAATATGTGTGTACAGATGTATGTATATGTATATATGTATGTGTGTAGCACATCCTCTCTCTCATCCCCCCAATCTTTTACTCCTAAAAGCTTTCTAATTAAAAAAGTATAACTTCACAAAAAAATTATCTCTATGTCTAGTAGGAGTCCAGTCAGAGACTGATTCTACCTAGTGAAGGAGCTGTCTCTATCATCAGTGCATAATATAATATTCGGGAACTATGATACTGAATGGCCCCTGCTGGATATCCATCCACTGCAGGAAACAAGTTGTTGGGAGCTTCATGTTACCAAACAAGATACCTAATACACTTCAGAAAGGAACCTGACATCTATCCTGACCACACTCTTTAATTTCCTCTTCCTGAAAATTGGGGGTATGGGCTCATCCTAGGCCTGGACTAGAATTTTTAAATCCTACACTTCCCAAAATCATTTCTGCCCAGAAGTACAAATATAACTCTCAATTGTCATAATAATCTCAGTTCTTGAGAAGGGTATAATTTCTAGAATTTTGTAAGTACCAGACAAAAAATAATTTCATATGAAATAACATGGGAATAAAAAAAGAACATAACACAATTCAATACCAGCAAGGCCAGATATTTGAAGTGCTTCACAAACTTTGTAATTTTTTTAATCCAACTCATACCTACAAAGTAGAAGCACTACAAAATGTTGGCAGTTCAACTGTATCTAACTTTTCTCTAAAGGGAAATAGTTAAAACTGTTGATATTTTCAAAAGTTCTCTATCAAGGAGTATTATTCTTAATTTTGATGAAAATACATAAATTGTTTACTTTAAGTTCCACTGAGAAAGCTCATCTCCAAACACCAATCACCAACTTTCTGATGGTGGATCAGACCAAGAGATAAGCACTGTAGCTATCTAGTAAACGCGACAAAAGATTCCACTCAGATACTTACCAGGAGCAATGGTCTCCAACGTATCAGAGCTGACTTTACGAGTACTTGTATAATGATGGAGGGTGGAACCCGAAAATACCAAGTAAAACACTACATCATCTTCAACTTTGTCCTCCTCGGCAAGCAGTACCGTAACAACACAATCACCCTAGGAAAGGAAAAGATTTACCAGGTTTGATTAGCAAGGCTCATCTTAGAAATCCATCTTTATCAAAACACCATATTAAAGGAAACAAATCTGCTGAGTGTGGTGGCTCTTGTAATCCCAGCTACACGAGAGGTAAAGACCCACAGGATTTCAAAGTTGAAGGCTGGCCTAGAGTCATTTTGCTCAGGCAAAAAGTGTGAGAAACTCCCATGTGAAATCAGTAAGAGTGGGGCTTAGTAGCACATACCAGTCATCCTAGCTATATGAGAAGCAGGAACTAAATGGAAGGATTCTGGTCCAAGCCTAAACTTTAGGCCCTATTTAAAAACAAAGCAAAAAAGGCTAAAGGTGTAGCACAGCTAGTAGAGTGAATGTCTGACGAGTTAGAAGATTGAGTTCAATTTCCAAAATAGAGAAGAACAAAAGTGGGAAGGAGGGAGGGAAGGGGAAAATGTCTATACTTGGGCCCCCTCATTGCAGTAAGCATTGGATTTTCAAGGTGGGCTTGTTTTTTTTGTTTTTGATGCTAGGAAGGGAATCCAAGGGTTTTGCAGAGTAGCACTGAACTACATGCTCAGTACCTCTAATAGTTTTATACAAATATAATTACTGACTGGACAGTCATATTTTGAGAATTCAAAATATAAAATGTACCTGGAGCCAGTGGCTCATACCTATAATCCTAGCTACTCAGAAGGCTGAGATCTGTGTATTGTAGTTTGAAACCAGAGGAAGCAGGAAATTCCATGAAACTCTCATGTCCAATAAACTACCAAAAAGCTGAAAGCACAGCTATGGCTCAAGTAGAAGACCATTAGCTTTGAGCAAAAGAAGCTCAGGGACAACACCTAAGCCCTGAATTCAAGTCCCCCCATCAAAAAAAAAAAGGAAATAGGACCTCTGCCCACTGTATTAGAGGTAATTTACACATAAACAATTAAAAAGAGAGCAGTGCATTACCCAAATAGGTTAAAGGACAGGAGTTTTTTTGAGAAGCAAAGATGGAGATAAGCTGCTATAACCTCACAGTCAGATGGAGGAAGAGAAGCTAAATGCTCACAGTCAGATGAAAGAGAGTAGCTAAATCCTCAGTCAGATGGAGACTACTCAGATCTACTTGACTTCTCTTGCCTTTTCATGGGGACAGATGATGGCTAACACAGGCAGCTGAAATCCTTTCAGCAAAGCTTTCCATATCAGGTTCATTCCCAAGAAATAAGTTTACTCTGAGATATTTCTATACCTTCAATCATTGTGTAAAAAAAATTAAGTCATACAACCTTATGCTCCAAATACTGAAGAGGAGGAAAAAAGGTTTATTCCCAAGCCATTCAAAATGTGGATTCCAAAGACAGCACTTGGAATTAAAATAGATGAGCAAATCACAAGCCATCCACATGGCTCCAATTTTACTACAGTAGTATTAGGCACTCCGTTTTACTTGAAATGGCCTTGAAAGATTAAGCAAGCAGAATGGTGATGAAAAAATAAAAATTACGAACAGATTTCAGTTTAAAAAAAAAACTTTATTTAGGTAGTTGCTTTACTCCAATCCTCCTGAAGAAATGTCTGAATAAATTACTCTGCTATTCAAGGAAAGGGCCAGTCTCTAGGACAGATAAATCAGTCTGGCTGCAGAGTTAACAAGTGTGTCACACTGCCACGGTGATTCTCAACCATTCTCCATTATTACTGCAATGTGACTCAACCCCGAGAAGAGAACTCATCTGTGCCGCCACTTCTCCAGTCACTGAACTCAGGAAATAATGCTGTCTTTACAAAGACAAGTGCCATATTTCTTTATGAATGAGAAATGTATCCTTGAACCTGATCATTTTGTCAGGGTCTTAATTAAGTGTGCTGACAGACAGTTGCTAGATGAAAACAGCACTTCTCAGCTGGGTGCCAGTGGCTCAGGCCTGTCATCCTAGCTACTCAGGAGGCTGAGATCTGAAGATCACAGTTCAAAGCCAGCCCAGGCAGAAGCATCCATGAGACTCTTATCTCCAGAAAACTGGAAGTGACTCTGTGGCTCAAGTGGTAGAGTGCTCAGCTTTGAGCTAAAGAGCAAAAGGCCCAGAGTTCAAACCCCACAACCAACCAAAAAAAAGGGGGGGACTGGAAGGTGGCTCAGTGGTAGAGTGCTTGCCTTGCATGCCTGAGGCCCTGGGTTCAATTCCTCAGCACCACATAAGCAAAAAAAAAAAAAAAGAAAGAAAAGAAAGAAAAGAAAAAAAAGCCGGAAGTGGTGCTGTGGCTCAAGTGGTAGAGCGCTAGCTGAAGAGCTGAGGGACAGCGCCCAGGCCCAGAGTTCAGGCCTCGCCACCGGACCCAAAAAAAAAAAAAAAAGAGCACTTCTCAAATTTGTGATATTCTTACCTACTAAAACATTTCAAATTTCTTTTTATAGCAATAACTATTCATTAGTAACAAGTTTATAATACTTTTAATAACAATGAAGCCTTTTAGGGGTAATATAATCTCAGTAAGATATGATTGTTAAGCTACACTAATTAGGTAGAAAGCTGGTCTGTGTTAATTTAAAGCTAAAAACTTTTTAAATGACTTGTTAGGAGCAAATATGACTGCCATCCATTAGTATTTGGCTTATGCTTCAAAATATAAACACTATATAAATCCTCAATGTTGATGTGTAAAAAGTTTTAAAGCATTTTGTTCTTAAAACATTTCTTTAATATATTTTACTTTATTATTTCAACATTTTATTGTTGGCATGAATTCCTCCAGACCCATCCAGTAAACAAGTTTAATGGCCCCAAACTAATACGTTCGTTACCTTCCCTTCTGTTCTCATTACTGCAATCTTAAATCATTCACCCATTCATGTTAAACAAGCACACGGTGCCCTGGGTTTAATATGCTGTATCTCTGCTATCGACCAAGTACTAGAATTACCAGGGTAAAAACTACCAGACTTACACCCTCTGGGGACAATGACAAGCATGCATGTAGACAGAATACCATGTGATAAATCTACCAGCTTCTGTAGGTAGAGAAAGTGGACTCTCAAACTTTCCCTTTTACAAGGTACAAGCTGGAAGCTTGTATGGAGAAATGCCTGTGCATGGAGCTGCTCAAGACTCAAAGCAGAGCAACTCGGGTAGGTACATATGCCCTTAACCATGTCATTACAATGCTACTGGGGGAGAATTAGCACTAGTTCATCTTTGTATACACTTAACATCTCTCTAAAGGGCCTGACCTACATATAGTTTCATGATTTTGCAACACTGAGAGAAGAAATTCCTCAAGATTTTTATTTGGCTCATTGAGCAGCAGATGGCGCTCAATAAATATGTTGCATTCTCTAAAAAGCAGTTAGAGAAACTTTCTTCCCCCCAAAAGATGGAATACTTGAGACTTCAGTTGGTGAAGGAATGAAATTACAGACAATTGGAAAATATTTAATACATAGAAATCATCTAATGATAAATATTCTAAGGGATAATTCTAAGGAGGTAAGTGTGTGAGGTTCTCTTTGTGTTTAGATACCCAACTCAGTTTCTTAGTCCATTCTTGTTAAACTGCAACTAGTTGGAGGGAGCTGAGTTTATTGGTATGTTTTATAAAAAGAAAATAAAATCCAACCCCTCCCCTCATGTCCTTCACATCTCTCTAGAACTTCTACAAAAATTAGGTCAACACTTAACTAGACCCTGTCCCTTCTATAATGCCCTGCTAATTCTTCAGAAGAAGAACCTAAGACTCCTCATGTAATTGTAACCCCCTCTGTACAGTATTTTCACACACTCACACACACACACACACACAAAGAACCTAAGACTCCCATAACTGGTTAGCAGAAGAATATATATTTAAACACCTTACCTACTCAGATCCTAAACCCTTGCACTTTTCTCTATGGGGGTTCCCCAAGTGTTATCCCAGAACTAGAAGCATTACGTAGGAACTTACTAGAAAGGTAGATTCTCAGCTCTGTCTCTAATCTCCTAAATCAGAGGCTCCAAGGATATAGCCTAGCAATTTATGTTTTAATATGCCTTTAGATGATTCCAGAGCATACTAAGTGTCTCTCCAAGGTTCTAAGAAACCAGCGGCTCCACAGCATTACACTCCATTGGGCCAGTATCACAAAGTTCTAGTGTCTGTCCTAAACTGTTCTCGTTTCTCCTACCTCAACTTCTCAGGCTCTTGGTCTGACTTTAATAATGCCACCAATATCCTTATAAACAAGTCCTAGGCAACAGCCCAGTTACTTCCACTATGCAGGGCTGAGAATAGACACATGGTAGCAGTGTATGTCCTGATATCATTTGGAACCTTGGCTTCAGACAAAAAACCTGGTTTGAATTCTCTATCATCCTAACTGCATGAACTTATTAAGTGACCTCAAGTTTTTTTTTATATTGTCTCCTCATCTTTAAAATACAGAAAAGAATAGTTATAAAGTCATCAGGATGATTTTAAGGAAGAATGAAAGATAGGACACCAATTATCATGGGTAGTAGCAAGTGTTGAATACATGAAGACATTTGTGATTACAATTTTAACAGGTATTTGTGCCACCTTCTACCACACATCATAATCCCATACTCTAGAAAAACTGGAGTTCAAATCTCAGCACACCATTTCCTAAAGTGTGTCTTTTTGCTATGTAATCAAAGAAAAGAGGACCCTTTTATTTCTGAGACTTAATAAGATATGGACAATCAATGATCACAGCCACAGGTGTGGCAGAAACAGAATAAATGTCCTAAGACCTGGAAAATGGGAAACGATAGAAGAAAAGACACTAGCTCTAAAGAAACAGCTACAGCCATAGCTTCTTAAAATTATGCTACCTGAGATCTCTTAATCATGCAAGACTGAATGGCTAGACAATGTAGGAATGCCACAGGTGACCAAGAGGAATTCTGTGTTCAATAAAATGGGTAAAGATAATTTCTGACCTCTAACAAATTCAAGATGATGACAGAGAATGGTTGGAAACAAGCCCATAATAATCAGACTGGTGGGTC